TCATTAACATTTAAATTTTACTACATTGATATTGTGAGAAATATCTTAGACATTACTAATGAAATTGTTAAGAGCTTGTGTTCTTAATATTCGATACACTAAAAAATCGCGCATTAATAATATAAAAATGAGTGTGTTCAAAATAATTATGCAGGATATAAAGAAATATAGACGAGAAATAATAAACATATCAACATAGATTACATCTGTACAAGTATGTGTGTAAATAAAATTAAATAAAATTTACGAAAGAAGGAAAAGGATGACAAAAGCAAAAATATAAACCACATCTTTATTAAAACGTTAATAAAAAAGAAATTATACGCAATAATCATCGCACTGAAAGACGAAATGTGCAAGTGTTTATGAAAGATTACAAAGATGCGCTGATGAATCGTGTACAAAGATTAAAAATTTGTCAATTCGTTCGAATACGACGCGAGGTATCTGAAACTATCATTTCAGAAGTAAATTAGTTTTGGAAGCTGATTTTCGGTCGCGATTTTTAAAGGACGGCTGCAGCGTAGATTGTTGCGAATAATTAAAATTAAATTGCTAAAACCAGATTACTGGCTCGATCTTGTGGCAACGATTAGATGTCTTATAAACCTAAGTAACTGATATTTAACGACGCAATATGAACCGAGTATCACGATGATAGACGTGCCTCTGATCTTGCGTAAATTTAAGGGAGAAAAGATTGACAAGGCAATCTTACAAAGGCGTAAAACGGGCTAAATCGCATACTAACTTAACGCTCGACGCACTACAGTACATCTTCAAATCGAAACTGGTTTAATTCGTGTTACGTGATCCGCATATTCTTTGACGAGATTGCACGTTGCGGTTTTTTCGACGAGAATATCGGATCAGGTTAACAACTCGAGTTAACGAATGGGAACGATACATAGATCGGGAATGTCGGGTTTAGCAAATTGTTTCGACGATTTTATTACAATATCAGACGCACGCATCGCGCGTTCTTGCGAATGAAATATATAAACTGCGATGTACTTCGCATATGCGCACATCGTTACGTATATCGAGATGTATATTTTTATGAGTAAACCTTATTTTTCTACATAGGGAATGTATCGCAATTCTTCTTTCTACATTTCAATCTTAGCAAAATAGATGATTGCAAGTCTGTATGTACATATAGTCGTCATTAAAACACATACGCATCCGCCGCTCATATCGTCGCCATTGAACACATGAGAGACAGGGGGGGAGAGAGAGAGAGAGAGAGAGAGAGAGAGAGAGCGAGCGAAAGAGAAAGAACGACGACATTAAAAATAATTATATGTAAAGAGAGTATTATTTTGAGTCTTCGTCTTAAATAGCACAGCCTTTGCTAAACCCGCTTCCGCATTCGAGTCAATGGCTCATAAAAAATTGTCGGTTAACTTAACTTCTTTATACGGCGAAACGAGTGACTAATTAACGTCACGGATCACAGCACCGTGAATTCACGATAGACAACTTCCTCGGGTGGGTTAATAATAAATTCACAAATTTTGTTGAATAACCACAGCATTCCTCCAAGTGTCACGTTGTAATTAATATATTTGACTATCTACCGTGACGCGACGAGATTTACAGGAAATTCCGCAAAAGCGTGAGAAATCGGAATGATATATTTTACATTCATGCTCGAACTATTTAACAACAGATTATATCGTTGATTGGCACGTGGATCGACCGAAAAAAATACATTTGCAGTTTGCGCGCGCGTTTAGAAGTTTTCTGACACAAAAGATTGAAGCATCCTAAAAATTGAAAAAAAACGTTTGTTTGTAATTGTATCTTTTCACATGTATTTGAAAAAAAAAAAGCAATCGCATTTTAAATTAAAGAATTACACTTCAAATGAGACATCATGTGTACAACTTGCGTTCCGTTGTCATTATAGAAATTGGCAGTTTACGAATATTGCAAGTTAGTTTTGCGTACCAGCCGCGTTAAAATATCTTATCAACCAGTTGTAAGTTTTCAAAAAAGTGTCTTACTTTCCTCGTTCGCAGCAAAGAAATAAATTTTCGAAGATTCGGGAGAGCCTCGCGGAACATTTCTTCAGCCATTCCCACAAACTTTTGCTTTGTTGTTGTTAAGTTCGAGCATAAATAAATACATAGAACCGTCGCGTTTCTCACTACACAAGATTTATAAATATTAACAGCCCAAGTTAGCACGTTATGCCACTCGCGTCTACTCGCACAGTATAAAGCACGTAAACCATGTAATACACGTACCTCATGTAATTTACTACACGATATAAAATGCGGCCTGGTCGTATTTACCCTTCAGTATCGACCCTTCAGGAACATATGTCGAAGTCTCTTGGTATTATCTTTCTCGTGAAGATATTTTTCACATCGATAAACGTTCGAAAGATTATTGTAATTTATGACTGTGTTTGTTTCCTTTCATTTTTGGAAATGTTAAACTCCATCGCACGTAAATTTAGCGAAAAGTTTAAAGATTAAATTTTTCTGATAATTACAGTTTCAGAAATGTAAGTGAAACACGAGGAATTATTACGTCAACGTTCTCGATGAACTCGATAAACTTATTCTTGTTTGCTCTTGCAGTTTCCATAGCAATAAACAGTCACGACCGTAGAGTTGGAGGAAGCTTTCAACAGTTTCGACGTGCTTTTCAAAATACGATATGTGCGGTAGACACGGTGCATGATGGACACCTGGTCCATCGATGGAGGGATGGAATGTATGCAAATTAGAAGGAATCGATATGCCCCCGAGGTGACACGGTGGATTACTGTGTCGTTTTGACGACCGATTAGGAATAAGGGAAAATTATTGTATACATATATATGTTGTATGGCTGCCGTTCTCTGTTACGGCGGAGAGTTGTTAATGTTCACTTGTGCGGTGAAGTCGAATTCTCTCGTTCACCGCGCCCCCACGACGACGTTACGTTGATCAACCTTATAATGGCTCGACACATTGTAGCTCGCACATTCTAGACGAGGGTGTTCGCGCGTCTTTTTCTATCCTAAATGCACGCGAAAAGTATCGACTTTTCTCGTTTCCGAAAAGAAGACGAGATTCTTCAGTCGACCGTGTCCTGCATGCAACGGTCGAACGGTTTCGCGCGAGTCCGGAAGAAGCTGGTTGCATCTACCGTTTAACTTTCTTAATGCATTCATTTCTTGTTTCGTACGACTGAGTTTTAAAAGAAAATATTCGATTAATAACAAGCAACAATTGACGTTAATGCCTGAGAATTAACTGTATCGACAGACTTGATTAATTAATTTTTTGGTTGATATTTCCCGTCTCTTTAAATTGTGGCCCCGACTTATGTAATAGAAAACGAAAATGCGGTTAACTGTGATTAGCGACGATAATCGATGTTGATGCAATCAACCTTAAGACGTCTCAAGAGAGATCGAATTGCGAGTACCAGGCATTGGATGAGATTCCATTGTTTGCCCTAGGAGTATCGATTTTCCGTGGAATCGAGTCCGTCGCTTTGAGTGTCACTTGTGATCGCTTGTTGACTTGTCGGTTTGAGTAGTCTGGATATATCAGAATGAATACATCCGATTCGAGAATATCCATTTTGTGCGTACAATCAAACGGTTTAATTAAACGAGTTATATTCTCGATACTCGAAAAATTTGTAGATCATATTATACATATTTAAATGAAAGTTAATTTAATGTTTGGAAGAAGTATTAGCAAAAAAAATACATTAATATTGTACAATCATTATGTGCAATATCTATATATCTAAAATTTGTTTTACTCTAGAAATAGTATATATTTCGTAGATTTGAGTTGAACATTGAACGAATAAGATCTTCCACGATTTTTAAAAGATTCTATTTCGATATATTAGATTTATGTGAAATTTTTGAAGCAATCATTTGAGAGTGGATCTCGCAATTTTTGAGAGAAATATTTTGGTGCGCGATTCCTCGCAAAGAAGTAAATACGTTTCGCAGGCAGTAACGTCAAGATGAAACATCGAAACGTTTCGCTCCGATGATGAAGACAAACGTTACATCGGACATTTCACGACCGATATACCGCGATGCAGTCGTTGAAAAACCTTGTTACTGAACATTTGCGTCGCGACAACCAGCGTCTTCTCGTCGATGTTAGATAGTGAGAGAAATTGATCTTAATTAATGAAATAAATAATAACCGCGAGATGAATTTTCTATTCTAATGTTGGATGATAATTTGCTAAAAATTAACATCTTGAAATTAAAGATATTATTAACTTAAATTTAGGCCGATATATTTATAATCAGTTTTTATATTTCGTATAAGTTTCAGATATCATAGACCAGTTACAGAACTTGAGACGATTACATTACTCAAGACGATCTTAAAATAAGAATCACTCAATATCGGCCTAAATTTAAATTATGTAATACATTTAATCTCAATGAGATCTCAATATATAAATACTAATTCTTTTTTTGTATAAATTTGATTCTCATTTTACTATGTTAGCATGTACAACTTATATCTCCGTATATCTTTGTATAGAAATAATTAAATGTAGATAATATATATAATATTATATATTTTAAAATTTTATATAAATCATTAAATTACTATGCAATAAATAAACGATGTGCATGTAGATATCTTTAAAAAATTAATTTTTCAGATTACTCCGTCTGTATTTACGATAAGAAATCTATTCTTCAAGAGCGATGTTAATCAGCGCACGATTACAAAGAATGAACAAGAATAAACTTCGGGAACAATCAATTTCTCTCATTATTCGACAAATCGGATGATTAATCGATTGGACGGTATGGAAGGAGCAAGACGGGGTCGTCGCACGCGACTCAGATATTTACAAGTCGAAGGATTCGAACGGTGCAAAATGCAACGCTGTCGGGCGGATCTGATTATCGTTGGAGAATCGCATTCGGCATCCGGTCAGCGGTGTTGCCTCGATCGTGAAAATCCTTCGAAGTAATTCGTCTTCTCTTCGTCCGGGAAAAGATCCAGTTGGTCCACTCGTCAGAGCTCTGAGTTCGCGTCGAGACTTTGTAATTCGATCAACGTAGCCGGTTAGCATCTATAGAGAAAGATGCTAAACTGCCGTGGGGGCACGCGATTGTCAATGCCACTTCGCCTTTTGCGCGAATATATCCGCGCGCAGATTCTGCGCGAAGCAGATTCCCAGAATCTGAAAACAACAAGGACATTCCGTTTATTGCTTCGCCACAAAATAGCCACGATAATTAGAAACTTTTAGCATTTTCACAAAATATTCATGAATATTTTAAACGTCGCTTTAATTGATATCCGATATGATCTGTCAAAAGTAGAAATAATATTTCTCTTGCTACTGTCAAGTAACCGAGAATTTTCAAGAATAGTTTACAAAATATTGTTTTAGTTTAGTAAGAATAATTAGAAAAAAATGCTTTAATCATTTTTATTATAATATATTTATAAGGTCACATGTTTTTATATTTAAAACAACTGAAATTAATGAAAATCTGCCACGATTTAAATTTGTGAACATGCTAGTGTTATTTATGACTACAGAAATTTAAATATAAAATACATTGATATAAAATACATAAAATTTAACGAAGAACCGATAAATTTTTTAATTGAAAGAAAATGACCGAAATTAAAATTTAGCAATATTTGTGCTTGTAGTCAGTATGCGCTACATTTATACACATCTCTAACTTTGGACAATTAAATACATACATGTAATATTGTACGTATAATTAGTAAACACAATTAGTCTGAATAATTGAATCGTACATAACATTAAGATGCAATCGATAAGTTCTAATACAACGAGCGGTATCAACATGCTTTGACATCTACTTGTACACTTATTAACACATGTAACGAGAAAATTCATTGCGCAAAGTAAGCACGAATTTAAAATCCGTTAATGAAATTCAAGAGAGGCTCTATATTACGCTGATAAACGCACTTGCGCCGTGTAGCTTCGTGTTATTATGTATCTCGCATCTACTTTACGTCTTCCTGCGTGTAACACTGCGAATGAAACAGGTAGTCAGCGCTGCAAGCACGGGTAAAGTCTCACCTTATTTCCTTTAGGGCATGCAACGGCTCCATAACGCAGCGGTCCGCATCGATGAATACATCGCGAGAAACGTGCTAAAATCTCGTTTTAACACTTTGAATCAATGACGGCAATCTTGAGCGACATAGAATATATCTGAATCGCAAATTGAAAATTAAGCGAGAGTTGTACCAAGAGTTTGAGTTTTCCATTACGAACTGAATTTTAAAAGACTCTCAGCTACCGCAAAACGTCCAGGCGTTTCAAAATAACGTTTTACGACCAAGATTTCCATCTTCATGCCCCCGCCGCAATTGACGCTTCATTATTTAATTTAGTCAAGTGTTGAACGTACGGGGATTCAAAGTGTTAATTACTCGCGCGAGTCAAAGTTGAGGCGTACTTCCACGTACTCGTTGAAAGTTTATCGATGCGTGCCAAAGATCGGAGCTTGTACTTATAGTAATGCATTTTAGTGGTGTATACCTGAGTGAATGCTGTGCCAACCGCACCGCTGGCAATCGCGAGGAGATTTCGTTCGATCCACTCCTCGCCGGCCTGTATGCAACCTTTTTCGTAAATCACTTTGGCGACCTCAAAGTTCTGTAAAAAAAGAAAAGGAAACTGCTACTTCGCTTACCGTCAGCTGTCCCCCCTTCCCCGATGTTACGCTACTATTATAGTTGTTAGTCCAGGACAATTTCTCGATGGCGGTGGTCATTTAGTTCCGTGAAGGTTTCCGTAGAGAAAGTGAAAGGATAGCTGCACCGTTGTTTATGTAACTCTGATTTACCGTCGATCGCGTCAATCGGTTGCTATTTTAATGCGCGCGTGTCGTAATCGATTTAAACGTTCGTCGCGACGCGCCGTTTCGCCATGTATACGCGAATTGCGGCAATGTCGGTTTCAACGATAGTTAATAACATGAGCTACACAAAAATGACGCGGCACTTTATGAGTCGTGTCGCGCGCGCACGCTCGGTGCATATTTTAAACTATATTACAGCAAATCTTATTCTGTCCTTACAAGAAGAGATTTATTTAGCACGAACGAAAATGATCAGCGTTTCAAAAGATTACAATGCGCTCGAATATCGCCATAAACGGAGCGAACGAAAAACCACTTGCGAACGAGAGCGAGAATAAAATCACCGATGATAACTCTCGGTCGCGGAAACGACGAGAACTCGCGAGAACACTGAAAAGGTCAAACCGTCCTCGCTTTTACATCCCGCCAGCTCGACCTCGTTCTTCGTTCCGTTAAGTGAAAACTCAATAAGGTACTTGGTCCGGTCGACGCGTTTCCTCTCTGAGTTTTTCACGATTCCACCATGAGAACTATATCACTCGGAGGAAAGCTCGTCCAGGGTGAACCAAAGAACGGTAACGTACGTTATATACGAGAATGACGTTCTTAAAAGAGTGATATCCTGACTCTCGGTCGCGGAACAATGAATTTCGCCGCTTAAATTTTCTAGCAAAGTCTCCTGCCGGTAACTTCAATTTCCAGTCATATAAAGGTAGCAACCTAATTTATTAAGAACGGATGGGGGATCCGCGGGCTGCGCCGGAGGGGCGTAAATCGAGCTAGGATCCTAAAGTGGATCCAAAGAAAGAGGAGGAGGAGGAGGAAGAAAACGGAGGAAGATTTCAAACGAAGGGAGTGAAGGGTACGTACGTACTCGAGAAAACAGTATATATCTATATATCAAATATATATATACATGAGTGCGCGGAAAGGGGAAGCATGTATGGGGCATTTACGGGGGTCGGGGGTGGGTGGAGAAAGAGCCTAAGTAACAAGCCCATTCTGTTACGCCGTGCCTCTCGCGTTTACCTTCAAGAAGCCGAGGAGTAACTACGCAAGGCTTTCAAGCTGCTACTTCATTTACACCTTTTATCCCTCGCTTCGCTATACCGAACTTTTCCTCAATATCGCCTCCACCTCGATACGCGAGCGATATTGTGCGACTCTCTCATTAGCGGGGCGTTAGATGCCCTAATTACTTAAGAGTTTCCGTTCCCTGTCGAAAGACTCCGGCTTGGGCGCGGAAACTGCTAATTTATTCTGGCTCTTCAACGTCGCGCGCGTCAAAGCGGCCGACGATGCGCGCGATGACAGGCAGCGGTGAGATTGGGGAAGACCGAAGGCGGAAAATAGACGACGAGGGTCTGGTGTGTACCCAACGTGACTTTGGTTAAGCGCAGTTAATTGAGGCTCTGACAGGGCGTAAGCTTACGAGTGGCGAAAATTTTTCAGCGCCGGGCGAGAGAAGATTAATTTGACGGTGGAAAAAGCCTTTCAAGCGCCAACGTGCCACTCGTTTCTCTCTATTCATCTCCACTGTTCGTTCAGCTACTTGCCAGCATTTCTCACTTCAGGAACGAGATCCTTACCCGGGCGTTTTTCGGGCGTCTCGCGCGGAACAGCGCGCGGTGATGGCAGCCTCCCTATTTTAGCGTACTATAATCTGCTGTATTAGCATAGATAACATCGCAATTCTGGCGCGGTACAATCGCGCGCGCGCGCGCGCTAGCGTATAGATAAGCGCGCGATTATAGCGTAGCATAATCCCGGGCTCTAGCGTAGTAATATAATCCCGTGATTTTAACGTAATATGATTCTGTGCCTCGGCCGGTCTGCCTTGTACGTAATTCTACCGTATAATTGCTCGAGCGATGTTACTTTATGACTGCGATCTACTTTACGATAATCTTTCTCAATCAGTATATAAAGAACCAACATAAATCTGAGATATTCAGGTAACGTGAAAAATCGCCTGATGCAATTTTACATTTTTTGTGATCGCCCCAAAATATCACATTTTTTTTCCAAATCAATTTACCACCCCATTGAATCGTTAATTTCGTAGCTACATATTGACAAACCAACGGTTAAGTTAATCGCATTTTAATAGCAAATTTAATTATGAATTTCTCGATAATTTTCGATTAAACGTGTCAATTAATGTAATATTAATGTATGCCAGTTTACCAGCCGATATGTCAATATATGCAATCTTGTTGCGATGTAATTGGATGCGAACACCGTCGAAATAACAATAAAACTCGTCGGCCGCGAAATTGAAATTTGAATAATTAGCATGGAATTAATATAGTCATTCTGAGAGAGAGAAAGAGGGAGGGGGGAGGAGAGAGAGAGAGAGAGACGCTCATGCTTATGACGCGTAAACTGGTTCCTCGGACGTTCGTTGCGTATCGGAGTGAGGCAGTATAATTCTAGCTGTCAAGATTATACATAGTGGATTAGTAATTTACCATACTGATTATGAGACAGGAAAAACTTATATTATTGCATCGCGTGCCAACTTCATATAAGCGCTTTTATAGAATAGTTGCATGGTGCGCTTATGACTTACGCTCCTATCTTCATTAAGGTATATAATGTGCTCAACTATGCAGAAAGTAGCTGTTTCCGAAAGAAAAAGAAGACGGACGGAGGTGGCTGTTGTTTGAAATCATGTGATATTTTTCGGGGAATTAATAATAATTAACCTCCGTTATTCTGAAGCAAAAAAGTTAGCGAATAAAGAGCATTAAATTTTTTACCTATTGCGAATTTGATTCGAGATAGTGAGATATCCAGGTTAATATGGAGGTCAATAATTAGGTGAAATTTCAAGAAGTAATCGTGGTACTTTGCGTAAAAGATTACCGATAAGCATAAAATATAATACGGAAACGTATATGGATGAGATTTCCATATTACATTTTATGCATATCAGTATACTTTTATACGCAAATATTATCTTTTGAAAATTTATCTATGAAGAATCATTATCATAAATGTTCGCTGCAAGTATATCGGTAGATATGTGAAGTGGCTACTCGATTTTTGCGAAATCAAGTCTGCACGTACATATATATGTCAGTGGAGATATTCGGTGCACGCGCAACTGAATACTGTAATACGAACCGTGTGTTGTCATGCGGAACACAAAATTCCTTCGGACAGTTACGCTTTGATGGCTATACCGCAAGTTTTCTACGCGTGACGTTTTTGTTTAGAAGCGGGATATACATAGTACTTACCGTATCGATTCTCCCTCAGCTGTCGCATATTGATACAAAATGCATCGTCGGAAATACGATGTACACGTCATTGCTGATACTTACTTGCTATCTGACCCATATAACGCAGAGATATGCTTAAGCGATACGTAACGATGGTATTTTTAAATTTGAAAATGCGTATACGCTATCGAACAAAACGCATTAAGCAAAAATTACAACGATATATCAAATATACAGACTGCCGTGGAACTGCGACATTATCACGAATCACCGGATGTCCTTTTCATTGCATCGATTTTTTTTTAAAGCGGTTTGAAATCGAATTTCTCTCACACAATAAACAATTTGAAATTCTTATATAAGTTAAAAGGGCATTCGGCGGTGATATTCGCGGTGCAGAATTTTATCACGTCTACATCTAACATACATGCGATCACGTTCGTAAACAGCGAATCATCTTTACTGAAGTAACCGAGAAGCTGGGAAATTGCAACTTTCTCGCGCGTAAAGTCAGTCGCGAGTCGAGACACGCCGCGCGGAAAGCATCGCGCTTAATGGAATTAAAGCTTTAACAGTAAACCACTTTGCATCGCTCGGTCGATCGGCTCCGCCTGCCCGCCGGTTCTTGCCCAAGTTTACTTTTTCCGGTCTTTGCACCGCATGTCGGTGTAAAAATGGATCGATCAGCGCGTCTAGAATATTCATCACACACGTATATAGGTACGCCTTTAGAAAGGTAAGTAAGGCAACGCCATTGAGGTGTAATAGCGCGCGTTACGTATTAGACGATGGAAATACACGCTCGCGCGCGGATGTCACGCCGAGTGCAACGAACGATAGTCCGCGTACTTTCCTTTCCCTTCCGTGACGGCGGTCGCGCTATCAATCTCCGTGCTCGCGAGCGTTATATTGGTACGGTATTTCTCTCGCCGCAAAATTCATACGCGATTCCTCTGAAAATCCGCGTTGCCTCGTATTTCTCGCGAGATTCTTCGTCGCGCCGCGCAATTCCGCTCGAATAAAATAGGAACACTCGCGGAAATAGAAATATCACTCGCGGATTGCTGTTTACGTAGACAACTATATCTGGAAAAATATGATAGAACTGAAACCTGGGGAAAAATATATTATAGAATATCTATATAGTATCTAAACGTTCTATCTGTTATATATTATCTTAAGATTTTCTTTTAATAATGATATTCTAACTCGTCTTTTTTTCCTTTTGGTAAACTTGTTTACGCAAAAGCACCGTATTTTCATTTCCGAATTAGTTTAGGTAGAATATTTTGCGGGAAAAGAACGATCGATCGACGAAATTAATTTCATTTTAATAAGTCGGTCAATGAACGAAGAAAGTTGAGGCTTCCCAGCTTAACGGACGACAGTTTTCAGGATAAAAGTACCTGCAGAACCATGGTGCTGACCACGGTACCAGCGACGGGTACGAGGTTCAATTCTAGCCACTCCTCACCCGCTCTTAGGCAACCCCGCTCGAATATACTCCTCTCTCCCGTCTGCATTGGCCCGAGGGGATAAATAGAAATAATTTAAAAAGCAGCACACACAAGGGTACTTGCTCGAGCTCAGAGACTCGAAATTACGCCGCCCGGTTGTGGCTGCGGTCCACCGATAACGCGAGAGCAAACATCGATACTACGCTTCGTTCCCTTCGTTGACGACAACAAGAGTGCTCTTTGGGCGTGAATGAGGAAACGACTCGCGTTTTCTTCTTAATCGCGACCCACACGACGTATAAATATATGTTTATGCCACGAGAATCCACAAAGCACGCCCCAGGGGAGAGGAAAACTTAAGAGGGTTTATCGACTGACGCGCAGGCATAACTTAGCGGTTTAAACCACAGGGGGGAAGGTAAGAGAAATGTAATAAGGTGTTCGTGATGCTCGTCGTTGCATGAAGCGATGTGGAGTGTAGGGTGTAACAATTGAGAGACTGAGTATTCGCGCGGTGTGGTATACACGTAACGTCGATTCTCGTCTGCGTGTAGCGAATTTTTACGGGATCCATTCACGGTGATTCGACTGCGCGTTTGGAGTTTTTATTTTTATTTGCGAACTAAAACTCTCTCTCTTTTCTCTCTGATCGAGTATGATAATCGTTTCGAATTTAATTGTTATTTCTAATTTACATGCGATACATATACCGCGTACCCGTGATACACGTATAGATAATATCGGTGACATTTAATATACTGGCACGGAAAAAGCGCTTTATCATTATTTATTTACTCGCGTTTTATCAGCCCGTAACGCATCGCGGCGCATTTAATGGTTCTCCGACAAAAAAAATATAATTAAGCGACAAGGGCTTCACTCGATGAAAGCGTAATTAGCGCGGGGGCGGGTTTCGAGCCATTACATCGGGAATGATATACCTACTCTTAAAATAAAGCCTCCACAGAAGTTCTTATCCCTCTGCCCTCAACCTATCCTTCCTTTTCTCTCCTCGTTCTCTGGACTCGACCATTTTCTCTCTAATTAAGTTCCACAGTTTCTTGACCCGGATCGTTTTTGCCCGCGCTTGTAGACACTGTGTAATCGTGCGCGCGCGACCCGCGCAAAACTACCCCGAAGAACTACTTCGCTATCTCGAATCTGGCCCCCGCGCGATAGAGCGCGATTCCAAAGACAAATTATTCGGCCCCTCTGAGGCACGTTCCACTTGGTTTACCGTACTTTCGTAACGGTGGTACGAAATGACACAAGTTTCCAATCGGAAACAAGGCGAAACTAGAAACGGTCGGAACGCTATACGGAGTGTTACTCGTAATATGTGGGTGTATAGAGTATATCAGTTACAATAGTTTGTGAAAGGTAGAGGAGTTTATAAGATATAATTATGATGAGAGGACTTTGGCAGAGGATGAACTTAAAACCAACGCAAAGAACGAGGAAGAACATAAGAAGAGACGAAAATATATACTTGATCGACAATAATGTGTTTGCGTAAGAAAAACTATTATTTTCGTATCATTATTTAATTCACGTTAACTTTTCAAATCCGGCTTTTTACGACAAACGTTGTTATCACACGATAAAAATAAAATAAGTATAATGCTTTTATATCGATATTAGTGAGAGAATAAAGATGCTATACTTACATAACTGGGCTTTCTTACATCATAACCGCATTGTTTGTTTTTAATGATTTCCTGAAACAAATAAGAAGACGGTTTTACTTTCAACGGTAGAATTAGTATTCGTAAAATGATTCTGTAAAGCGGTAGCAACGCGAATACTATAATCAGTATGGGGAGAATTACATTAGGTTTTCGCTTGCAACAGCTAAAAGGCACGCCGCACGCTTCCCTCGAGCCTATGTCGCTCGACGAACAATTAAAATAATTGTTGCGGTCCCAATCCTTCGGGCCCTCGATGCCGCAACATTGCAACTGAAAAATAAAACGACAAATTTTATAATATTACGAACATATACGTTAACAGAATCGCTATATTTTTTAGTCTGCTATGGATTGCTATGGATTTTTACGAATTTTACGATCTACACATCTACAGGATTTTATTGTTTTCTATGTGGGGTAGTTGGGCAGGAAACTCGCCGCAATTTGTTCGCATGCAGACAAGAATATTATCCGTGCGAGACCAAAGTCTGGGAATCGCGTTCAAAACATTCTCTAAGGTTCGGAATATTTTGCATCATTGGCGGCGATATGATCAATCGCAGTCGAATTTGCGATGAATATCACGAGCGGGTATGAATTTCAAACGCCGTCATAAATAATTCCGACGGCGCTGGAAATTCAGTCGGGGCAATATTAAATACGCGATTTAAAGGATCGTTCGATAAAGAAGGAAGAAAGAATCATCGTACGGTCCGAAGACACCGGATAATAAACGTAAGAGAAAAAAAGATCTCGCTGCAAAAGGAGCCGGGTATTAAGGCAAGGAGAAAAAGACCGTGGAATGACGTGAGTTGGATTCAGTTGGCAAGGAGGCTTGGCCGCGATCGAAGTCCCGAGACCTTCATTAAACCCCAATATCTGTCTCTTATACGAGCGTGAAGCTTTATTCTTCTTTCTCAACTATACCCGTATGCGTTCCCATTGGTTGCGGTTCAATAATTTTTTCACACGCTAATCTGCAGGCCGTTAAATGTAAAAATCAAAAGATGTATTTTTTTATAAAGAATGCTTGATAATTCTTTCCTTTAAATGCGACAATAATTCTGCATATCACTTGTGTAATAGCGTTATTTGCATCGATTATTTGCAATAATTAATCCATCGATCTTGCAAACGTTAATTCGTTTGGGAAAATCTCTTGCCAATAATAAGTATAGCATATGTTATATCGCGCTAGTTAATATTATGCCATATGTGTTTGATTAATCAGCCAGCGAGCGAGCACACACGTATCTCGTGATTCTATCGTATAATTAATTAACCATGGGAATATTCGTATTTCTCGGTACGACAGTCATCGCGCGGGATGGGGGATATTTCACGTTTAATTAAACGGCATAAAAATGAATTACCCGGCGTGAAATGTATTAGATTCCTTGCATAGGGTTAAAAATAGAAAATCGATACGGAGAATATCACGAATTCAATTATTAATAACGGGGTTGCATGTGAGAGTGCCTCATTTGTCGTTTCGCACGTGCTTCCTACGAATTCGATTAATCAGGCAATTCGTTATCGCGATATAAGAAGTGGCTGTCACGCGAAGCCGATATCGAAAGAAACGGAGAAGCTTGAACGGTGTTGAGCATCGAAAGATAATATCAATCCCGTGTTCCGGGCAACTACGTAATTTAACTGATTTGTTTTCAGCGTACTCATTTTATTTTATTTAAATTATTCGTGCGGTAACGTTTCAATTTGTTTCAATCAAATATTCATAATACGAAACGCTGGCGCGTGGAATATTCATACGAGATGCGAATGCGAGTCGAGTATTGAGATACGAGATACGAGTTTCCGATTGTAGCTGGATTTAATTATTATTCGCTCGACGGCTGTACAGGTTGTATCAAGAGAGATCAACAACAAGCTCCGTGCGATACACGCCATCGATTTCTCTTTGGACGAGAATTTCGCCGTACGCTTAAACTGATAGATCTAGAACATGTAACGATGAAACAGAATCGGAATTCAGGCGAATGTAACAGAATCTTCGTATTTCAGTTAGTTATCGTCATTACACGATCTCCGAATACGAGAAAGTTAATTTGGATTTTTTGGTCAGCATTGAAGGATGGTATGTGCAGAGCGGTGTATTATAGAATGAAATATTTGCTACGGAAAAATCGACTCGAGATTCTTTCGAGGATAGAATTTCTCCCGTTTGCCAACGTACGCATCTCCCTTGATACATCCTGTATATCGATCGCATCGGACCAAACCGGCCGAGTTGAGCCAATTGATAAGTGGGATGGCGACGGTAAATACGCTCCGCGCCACCGCACGAAGTCGAAGTACTAAGCATTTCATTAACCGACTATAAATGGTACCGAGTGAATCCCGACGGGGTCAGACAATGCGGTATATGGCAACTCGGTGGTGCCTCGGTTTCCCCAGGGCTGATAGGATTGCCGGAATTGCGCGCCGGCATACCGGGCGTCCCTATTGAAATCTCGTAAACCACAATTGGTCGACCGACCATCGATTAACGAGTTTGACGATACCGCATCGAAATTGACAGTCGTATCTTTAGATAAGACGAAATCACCTTAATTCTCCCAAATATCATTGAGTTCGAAGTGAACCGTAGATATATTCTTTATCGATACGTGTCACAATCGTTCGCAATATCCAAGTCTACAGAATTTGCAATGCCTCGTAGAGATCTTATGACAGAGTCTGGTCAAACGATTTTATCGAAATCCTACGAAAGAGAGAACAAATATAATATATATATATATATATATATATACTTCTTTCTCATATATAATACATATTTCACTTTTACTTATATTGTCTCACTCTATACAACTTTAGTTAGGAGATTATAGAGTAAGATAATATAAGTTAGAGTAAAATAGTATACAGAAAGAAAGTATATATACCTTTTTCTCTCGTAAGATTTTGACAGAATTGCTCGTGATATACTTTATGAGCGTTTCTAGTTTCGGAACTTAGGAATACAGTCTCACAAATGTATTCAATTAATATAATAGTTTCTGATATTTTTAATTAGACTGAAAAAGTTTCAATACAATACTGTTATCAATCTTATATTATATTATTTAAAGAAACAATAATATTCTTTATAATAATAATAACTCAATTTCAATAAAAATATAACATTTTATTATTTTAACTTCCATGTGTGTTCCAAAATTTAAATCACTCTTTCTGTGATTAGTTTCAAAACAACATAAACAACGTCCATGTTAACGTTTTGTACTTATACATTGAATTTGAGTCAAAATTATAATACATCTTCTTGAGTTAAATTGTTTAACTCCATCGTTTTAGTAACGATTAAAATATTGAATAGAGACAGACTTATAGAAATGATTAAACATAACTCCTATTGGATTTAATTATAAATTTCACAATGTGGCTTGTTAAAATGTGAATTGTTGTATTAACTATCACGGAATGAGAATCCGTTAGACACGATGGCCCACCGATGATGGAATTGTGGTGGTAATTCGACGCTTGCGGATTCATCAGCGGTTCCGAAACCCGCGCATTCAAACATTAACCGAATCAGTTCGCAAATGTTTCCATATGTGCTCGCGTCGCGTAATAATTTATGTGTGTACGTACATATTGATCGATGAATCCGACAGTCTACGTCACGTCCGTATGGCTATGAAACGACGCAAACCTCTCGCGGCATGTTTCGATATCGACTTCATTCATCCTCGTGGCAGACGTCCGCTTTTTACTCAAACTGAATCCCGCTAACCGCGCGACGGATTCGTTGGTTAAATTAATTCTCGCGGTTCTGCTGGATACTTGGCCGAACGTAAATCACTGTCGCGCCCCGTGCCTCGTAAAGTATGGCGAATCGAATGAAATTTTCGGTAGATCCATGAGTTCGGCGGTAACGTGCGGTGCAACGTGCGAGCGCGTGTGCGGTTTACCATCGACTAGCTTCTACTGATAGGATTACCGAAATTGCGGCAGTGTACCAGAGCGGTTCTATTGAAATCTCATAAACCACAATTGGATGACTGGATATCGATTGTCGAATGCTACTATATTACGCGCCATTTGGATGCCGCTGCGTGGCATTCGGAATCTGGACCCGGCCAGATTTTCGTGCTGCGGCGACTCGATAAAGTTTGCGCGAGCTTTCGGAAACCGTCTGACCGCACGAGTTCCTGCACTACTTAGAAATGCGAGAGCGCTTGCTTATTAAAGGCTGCCGGTATACACGTTCGGCTTCGGTGATTCGATATTCCGGTGGGATACCGAACGCGAAGGAAGCGCGCCATATGTCAAGTTACTTTAATAGTATAGTAATATAATTGAATTTTGATATAATCAACTTGCCCAATCTTCTTGAATCCAATCAATGAGATTCTGCTGATCAGGATCCTCTCTGTAGTGGATAATGAACGCTTGGAAGCCCCCCGTAGCTTGTGATTTTATCTGTATAGTGAATAAAATATTATATTAATTAACACGCGTTACGGAATTTATATTTTTTGTTAATTAATTATTATTTTGGGATCTATATTCTAAAATTTTTCAATGTGTATCAATCTCAATTTTTTCGCCCGAAATAAGAGAAAAGAGAAGAGTGTCTGATAAAAAATCGTGCACCAAAGTTTCGTAATTTTTACAAAGTCTTGTTACGATTAGTGATTTCCAGAGTATTCCCTCTCGATGACTGACGAGCTCACAGATGCTGCAGGTATAATTGTTCAAGGACGAATTTAACTTTCCAGCGGTTGTAAAATAGAGCGGCGCGCATTAAAACGCAAGCTGCGTGCGAGTACGGGGATATGATGGCACGTTTGTTCGTTGTCCGAAATTTTCCACCGTGAGAAAATTCTCGTCATGTTTAAAGGATACGGTTAATGGAATTAATTAGTAACCCAGGAACTCTCCTGCTGCATAATTATACGCAAACTTCGTCGGCGCCCGGCCTAGACTGTACTCTATAATACGTGTTCGCGTCTTCCACGCGCGCGCGGTGTATATATATTCGCAGCAAATGAAATTGTGAAATATGCACCGACGAATATATTGTACAATGCATTATTGCATTCGGCATATTCGCTTTGATAATTCAGCCACGCTTCTCGTAACTGCTGAATTAATAAACGCGGTAAGTAGAAACGATTACGAATAAACGCAGTGGAACTATCTCGGTGAACACTTGTCTTGAAAATGTTGCGTATAATTCTGCAGGATAAATTTTAGGAAATCTGTCTATTCCGCGAAATATCATCTGTGAAATATCGCGAATAATTAAATGCGCACAGGGTAATATGCAGATAATATTAAATCATACATATATATATATATATATTGTATATAGTTTATAAATTACCTATAACATTTTAATATTCACTAAATGTATATATTTATATATTATATTATAAATATCTTTAAACATGATATACACGTTCATATCTTTTGCCTGTAATTATTATTGCACATTATATAATAACTATATAAATTATTATACGAAGTACACATAATATTTACCCAATCTTTGAAGATAAATCCTAGAACACCGACAGTCATTTCCATCAACAGCAATAGCGCTAAAAATATTGCGTACTGCAACACAAAATTAATTTAATTAAGATTGATTCTATCGAGATTTTTTGAGAAATTAATTAGAGAGAGAGAGAGAGAGAGAGAGAGAGAGAGGAGGGGGAGAGGAAGACGTAGAAAGCAAGAGAATACTCATGGTCCTACTTGCGCTGATGGTCTATTAGAACCATCTTTTCAACGAGATTCATTTTGAGGAGCTCTAAATTTCAAAAGTTCGCCATTTAAGAAAGCAAAGTCTTTCGTTTTAAGTACTTTTAAACGTTACATTTCTCAAAGAGCAAAACTTTTGTTCAATCGCGTGCGGTCAGCCAATGATAGACCATAGATATCATATAACGAACCGGAAGCTCGATCAAAGTTTGAAGTACCGAAAGATGTTGGGCAATTAAAGTAATCCAGAAAGAGCTTAATTGAATCCCGTAGGACGCTCACCGCGGCGAGGAGGCATGTGTTCTCCCGTAGCGCGCCGACGCATCCCGTGAAACCGATGATAAATGTCACTGTACCTGCAACAGAATAAATAGTATTGGGTACTTCGTCATCGCATGAAATGTAACGCGAAGAACACGAATGCATTCGTCAATGTATCGTATAATCGTGAGTTATGAGCGCGGGTATACGCGCGTCCCACCGGTGAATTCATTCCCGCATCGACATGCTATGCCGGCGTGAATTCCCAGATACATTTATAGGTTTGCAATGAAGTGCATGAAAAAACTATGAAAGCCGGAAACTTAATCACAGCTGGGTCAGAAGGATCGAAATGGTTTGGGAATATCGGAGAAAATTACGAAAAAGAGTTGTATTTATTATAGATAGTATATAATTGACGTTCTAACTAAATCAATAGAGTATAAATCGAAATTGATATATTTACACATAAAAAAAAAATATATATATATATATACGATAATATATGAAAATTGTATATACATTAACATTATTACGTATATAATTTTAATATATAAAGTATTTGTATATTATTTCTTTTATTTAACCTTCATTTGTTTGGCATATTCTCTTCCTTTTAATTTTTGATTCACAAAGAGGAGATTTTATCAGTCAGCAAAATCAGGAAATTCGTAGCTCCGGAATTTTACTTGCGTAACAACTCTGATTTACGAACATACGCCACATATTAATTACACGTAGGTTTGCGAACGCTTGTAGTTTACACAAGTAATTATATTAAAATTCCTCTGCGTTCGAATTGAATTTGCTGAGAGTGCGTCATCAACAGTACCGTGTTGCGCCGATGGTAATGCGGAATATTTATGAAATTATCTGCTACCTGCGGATGAGCGTGCCGCGTAATGAGCGTTAAATCAATTCTGTGTGTACGCTAACAAAAAGTATATGAGCACAAATGCTCAAAATTCGTTGCTATCACGATTAATCGATGTGCAAGCAGCTTTTTTGCCTTTTTATATTTAGTATACGAATGCTATTAATTTGTATATAAAACAATACGATTGCATTAAAATTATTAAGAGAGCTTTCATGCGTATATTATACATATAAATTTGCAACAAAATTTTCACGAGCAGAAAGTGGAAAATTGAATTTTATATTTTATATTGAAGAGAGCAGTGTTGCTGAAAACATTTACTATTCTTGGCAAAGATTTAACGATGAATTCTAGTCAGGAGGTAATATTTCTATGCATACATATAAAGTTTCTATAAATTAAACGTTCGAAATGATTCAGAACAGATTTTGTTATAATAGCATTGATAGAAATGGCTTGAGTGTATTAAAGAATTTATAGTTGCATTGAGAAAACGATTATAAGTCAAACTCGGCACTATCGGACTTAATAAATTTTATCTATCATCAAAAGTTATAAGATTTTAGAACATGCTCCGGAAATGAGGGGGTAACTTTTAATCCGATGGTAAAGCAGAGACGGGGAACGGAGCTCTTTCAAGTAACTGAATAATTAGTCCAGACTTACTTTCGGAACTTTTGTTAAGCCTTGCCACGAACTAGAAGAAAATGGCAACGATGAAACGCTTTGCGCTCGGATAAAAAACTCAATGAAGAAAAACGAAAAGTGCGAATGTAGAAACGTGTATCTACTTGAAAGTGCAGTTGGAAAATTTTTATACAAGGTAGAACTATTACGGGGCATTTTGTACGTTAAATATGTTATAACATATGAAAATACAATATCTATTTTTTAAATTATATAAATTTTACATTAGTGATGGATGCAATTGTTGTTATTAACAAATAAATACAGTCTCTTTTACTACAAAGACATTTTACTTTGCACGCTGCATCTCAACTCGTATTCGGGTTAATATTTCGTACGCAATCAATGTTTCGTAAAGAGGCCAAGTGTGAGTCAATGACAGACGGAAGGGCTTTGCCACTCTCGCAATATCGCAACGTTGCTTTATGTTGTATGGTAATAAAGTTGCAGGATAGAGGAACGCATACGTTTGATCTCGCTTCGCGACACGCGAATATAACGGCGAATCGGTAATATCTGTTTCGATTCTAGTATATAGGTTTTCGTACCTGTGTGAAGTTGGCCCCCCAATATTAAAAAATCGATTTTTTTCTTCATGCATTCGTTTGCTCATCGTTTGCTCACGAATGCTCAGTTGGAATTTTCGTTTGCTCATCCTTAGTTCAAAAGATACAAAAAAATTAAGTTTTGGTCTCGAATTAAAAAATATTTTTTTTTTTTGGCATTCGTTTGCTCATCGTTTGCTTAAAAATCTTTTGAACTAAGGGTGAGCAAACGAAAATTCCAACTGAGCATTCGTGAGCAAACGATGAGCAAACGAATGCATGAAGAAAAAAAAATCGATTTTTTAATATTGGGGGGCCAGCTTCACACGGGTGGTTTTCGTTGACTAAAAAAAGAGACTCGATGTATATTGAATAATCTGGGCCTTTCGTGCTTTTCTTGGTGTACTCTACGTGTAGAGTACACCAAGTTTGGCCGTGAGTAATAGAAGTCGATTCTTCTGTGGTGTGATTTTAATTAGATCCGCGTGTCTTGCAATTAATTTACATTTAATTTGCGGTAGCCAAATTACGGATGATTCATTAAAAGCGTTTGAAATTACGATATGTACAATCAGGCCGGGTGTATACACGGGTGGAAATCAAAACGCAACTCTCAATTGCGATCGCATTTATTTGAGCGAGAGGAAAATAAACATAATCTGGGATTTAGCGTTACTCTTTGCGCAAGTTACAATTTATTGGAATACTGCGCGACGTTTTGGCAGTACTAATAATTTTAGGCGGATTTTCGAACGCGTATTTTTCCAAACAAGCTTTGCTTCGGGATTGATAAACTTTGGAAAGCACGGATTAATTTTGTGAAATGCATTTACATTGTTAGGGAATTTCGAAATGATTATCAAATTTAGATTAATTTTGCTAAATGGCAGATTTATGTCGCAACGGATGAAACATTTTGGTTTATAACATCTGTAATATGCTTACAGCATAATTTTTGTGTTCCAAGTGTCAATGTTCTCGCTAAAAATGTAATCTGCTTTCGGTCGTCGTTATAACTTTCAAATAGTAGCTAAGTCTAAATCGTTGTTATCTGGTAACCGTTACGCTAAATTAAGCGCAAGCCGGAAGAGGTAGAGTTACTCGTCAAAGTAAATGGAAGTAATTGGAGCATGGGATAATCGAAAAGCCAGGCTCAAGTCGATATAGTATACTACGCAAGTACGAAATAATTAACAAGCGCGTCGCTTTCCTAAGTACACAAGGTACATAGAATACGTCGATTACTTCGATGAAAATGCCGCTTGAATGACGTCCGATAATATTAACATTTTTCAAACAAATTTTCTTCTACATTACGTACAGTTTTATTAAGATTTTTAGCCAGAAATGCTCTACTGACATTTGATCAGCTGCAGTGAATATCCGTAATCCCAAATACTATTGTACTGAACATACATTTAATGACTCAAAGTCAAACAACCAGATAGTTCGCCGTTCACTTGCGAAATTAAATATTAACGCAAATATCGTTTCGAACGGTAAATATTGAACTAATATTGCTTAGCTTGTATTACAACAGTACAATGAATAACGAAATTAACTGAATACATTTATCTTCGCGAAACAGGAGCAGTGCATAAATCAGCGAATAAGTCTATGCCTACATTGGATATATTATATTATCAGTTTCCTTCTGGACGAGAGGAGAGAGAAACTCTGATAATAACATATCCGATGTAGGTACAGAAACTTATTCGCTGTTTTATTCACCGTATTGGAAGATATTCATTAAATTTTCATTGGAAATTATATTACATTACAAATAAAGAAAGGGAAGAGAAGGAAAGACTCTCCTCTTTTTATCTTGAATGTAATATAATTTTCAATAAAAATTTAATGAATATCTTCCAATACCGTCAAACGAATAATTGAAAGTAAGTACCGCTGCTACTATAGTGAATTCAACTATACAAGGCGACGATAGAACGCACACCAGCCTTTTGTCGCCGTCCCCTTCGAACTTCGAGGGGATTGTTTCCCTGGACACGAGGCAAACAAATGGATGAGCCCTCACAAATCGACTCCCACTTTCGCACTCGGGCGGTTTCTCGCGTCCCGTTGTTCTTCCAGCGCGCCGGATCACGTGCAAATTCGATTTGGGCCGCGCGACATCCCGCCGAGAACGTCGCTATACCGCAAGCCAACTGTCCTACCTCCGAATCGTACCGGCTTGAATTCGGTCGCCGGGCATTCCCGGAAGCATTCTCGCTATTACGGCTCGGCGAAACCGCGCGCGGCTGACCGCTTCGAAAGCGCGGGCGGCTTTCCGGAGCGTGCAGAATCTCCGGGAATCCACGTGTACACATTCGGCGTGTAATTCGATTCATGGCGTTACATCCCGCGGCGACGAACTGGGAACGTCATTCTCCTGTACGACCGGAAACGTGACGTTCGTAACATTGCGGGGGACGCAACTCGGACGACCGGTGAAATAAATCGGACGCAGACGACCTTGTCCTAATTTTATGTCCGTCGCCTCACCATCCACTCGTATCCAATTAAAACTTTGGCACCCTGTTAGAGATAGAGACAGAGAGAGAGAGAGAGGGGGGGGGGTGGAAGAGAGGAAAACGGAAGTGGAAGGGCCGAAGCGCACAATCTGCGTCTATTTGCCGGTAGAGTACGTGTATTAGCCGACAGAATATTACATTCGCGTCGCGAAACGGAGAGAGAGTCTGTGGTAGTTAATGGAAACGTATCGAGGGGGACGACGGCGAATGCGCTTTCTGTCAGCGCGCCCTTAACCCTTCCGTATCCGTCGTATCCATTTTAATTAGTGTTCCGTTGGTCCTCCAAAATCCCGCAAGGCTTCTCTCTCGTACTTCAGAGATATTTATAGTTATTCGGCGAAAATTGGATATCGGATGTTACTCGACAAAAATTAGAGTCTGGCAGGTTCGAAGATAAAAACTGTTTACGCTTCGACATTTAAACATAGTTTTTAGCGTTATCGTAAAATTCGATTCACACTTTTCAAGAGGAATCTCTCTGTATATTCGCTTTGCACCTATACTGAAACATACTTTGTACACGCTAATGACCGCGAGCATCATGTGAAAATAGGTTGTCACGATCGCGACCGACAAAAAGCTCTTCCTCTCGGGCGTTAGGCAAAACGCACCCTTTAATGGCCGATAACGTCGCGCACATGTAACTTATCTTCCACCCTCGTGGCCAGAAAATTGTGTCGTTACCTTTGAGATTTCGATTCATAAGAGTTCTTGCATTCGGAGAGAGAATCACGTAGTATCATTTTTATACATTACGATTATATGTGTGCAACACGGGCATTATTTTTCATTTCATCATTTCGACTAATTTAATAATTTATGAGAGAGCGATTTCCTCGAAAAACTATCGATTATTTTTTTCTCACCGATGTATAAAATGATTTACACAATACCAATTATCTCTCTTTTTCTCTGTCTCTCTCTCTCTCTCTCTCATTTTTATTTTCATCTCTTCGTTTAATGCAGTCGGTGTGTTAATTGAAATGGGATTATTATTTTATAAATAAGCTTTATGAAACATTTGGATAAATGTTTATTTGGTAAACGAGGAACTACATATATCCACATGTCAAAAAAATTAATATGTAATTATTAATTGTGTGTATGTGTTAGCTGTAAATGAATAAAACTACTCAAACGCGAATGTGAAAGGCTATTGCGATGCCATATCAACGCGTAGGACGCTAAGAATAATTGTTGGTTCTTTCTTGACGTAATAATGACAGGATGCCAATGCTTTTGCCTTCAATTTTTCGAAATAATTACATCAAAGCGGACATATTACTTATATTCTGTTATGTAAGTTTATGATATTAGCACTCTGACGCATCTGTCAAAAAAGTATTCCGTAAATCAGACTAGCGAGATAACAATTTTTGAATCTGCAACGCGCACAGTTGTATGGAAATTGTTTTCCGAGAAGCAAAGCGCAGAGCGCGTGCCCGAATAATATAAGACGATGAGATATTGAATTTCAACTTCAGACAGAGGCTGAACTTCAAAGCACCGCACTGGCTATACGTCTGTTTTGTCTTGCTAGGAGTCTCGGTTGAATGATTATAAGAAGTGGAAATGGTAAATAGTCTATACTGTTACATTGCTCTCTTAAATCCCTCGTTTCCGAAAGATACTTACAGGTCGTCCTGGAATTCACGACCTTAACTTTGATGGCAGATTCTTTCTGCCGAGTCTGAAGAACAAAAAAAAAAAGAAAGAACAAGTTAAAAAGTACGAGGTTTTTAACGAATTTGTTTTCCTCCGAGGACTTAAACTATTCGGAAAATTCACGACTATGCAGACACCTTAATTTCCGGCTCGCGTCGTGCTTCGCTTCTCGCAGAGATAAGCTATAGCTCTCTGACCTTATCCAAATTACAAATCCGTGCTATTGTCGGACGGCGCATTACGCGACTTCCGCGCGAGGGAAACGCGCGAAATATCACGGACGAATTAGAACGAATGCCGTTCTCGAGCAACCATTACGAGGCCACCGCGCGCCCGAGTGGCGTTAATACAGAAATCAAGTTACGACCGCGCGGTCGTGCGAAATGTTTCCGCTGATGGAAACGATAGCCTCTTCGCAGACAGTTCTGAGGAAAAATTGGGATCACCGCGTCTTCCAAGGGAACGTACCAAATGTCGGAAAACTGCGAAACTCTCACCGCAACGCATTATATATTGGGATAGTTTTTCTTCTTTTTTAATATTACGATTTATTTTTTTCATCCTCTATAACTTATGAAAATCTCCCGTGTGCTTCTAATGTTACTTAACATTGTTCTAAATTAAAAAACGGGATATTAAAACCCTTAAATGCTGAAATCTCAAAAATAATTGGAGTTTACATTTGAAAATTTCTGAAAGTCTATAGTAACTTTTAGTTGAATCTCTTTCTATTATTCACGCATTTTAATTTCACTAATGGTTTGGTGGATTTTCTCCAAATATTAATGAAATTATTATTAGATTTCTATAGAAAGAATTAAAATTTCCGTATCATATTTATAATCTGAAAATTTCCTAAGATCACAAATTTTTAAGAAATCCTAAAACTAAAGTTTAGCTTGGTGCTCGAAGAGAGTTATACTTATAACTCTCCGTGCGTCTTCGAGAGTCGCGAGAGAAAAAGGGAGCGAAAGAAGAAAAAGACAAGTACTCACCGACTAGAATGAGGATAAATGCTGGATCGAGTGCGACGTTTGTGAGGCGGGACAGGTTGTTGAAGGTGTCCTTTTCGGTCCATGCCCAGACGCCCACTGCCATGATACCCAGACCAAGCCACTACGACAAAGAGAGAGAAAGGGGATGAGAGTTAGAGATTGGCTTAAGTGAAGACGAATATCGGCGGCAAGTTTCAGCCAACCGGAAACTTCCCCCGAACTGTTTTCGCGCCGTCTGCCATATTTGCGAACGGAGTTTTTCGATTATTCTGACATGAAAGATGTGAATTTCGGTACAGTAAGTAACGTATTAGATTGGCGCAATACGATTCATGTATCTGATAAATTGTGAGGAAAAAATTTAAAAACGAAAAAAAAATTGAAAATTATTTTTGTCAATTTAAGGTCGTTGCTTTTGACTTCGATAATTTTATCGCGTAGAAAGGAGTTGAAAGAAAAGGATCATTCGATAAAATGCTTTTAATCATTGAATAAACGTAATTGCTTGTGAATGCAAAACGTTAATGCGCACGATTTGTGCACTTCTGGTGAGACAGCCACTCGGTGAAACTGCGCGAGCCTGGGTCTCGATTATACGGATCCAGTCGTGTGCGATTGCGCCACGGATACGATTACCCGCGGATAATGAGAAAAGCGCCAGGGGAAAAGAGCGAAAGAAGAGGGAAAATCGAAGAGTAGGTAGGGTCTAACGGCTTTCAACCGTTAACGGTCTCGTGGAGGCTCTTTCGTCCGTGTACGCGTAGTTACGTCTCAAATAGTTCGCAAACGACAAACGTTTGCCGAGTGCCCCTCTGACGGGCCGTTTTGTCGACGATTCTTTTCGCTCGCGTTTTTAAGACCGGCCGCAAAGCTTTGAGATCGTGATTTTGGTAGACCAAGCGTAACAACGTGTTCTCGAATGTCCACCCAGATCGATCGTTGCAACCACGAATTTTCTCCGTCGCCCGATGTATTATAGTAACTGAATTTGAAACTCATCTTTTTAAAACGGATTTTCAATCGTTCGTGAAATATTTTTGTCCGTTCTTTTTTAATTCAAATTTTATAAACGTTCTTTCTATACAAGAAATATCCCTAATATACATCCGCAAACATTTATACGAAACGTTATATGTGTACATACATGTATAAAAAATAAAATGTTAATTTTAATTCTCAAAGACGTTGAGTGGATTTTCTGAGACATGCAAAATTGTTAACATTAACACAAAAATGTTAATTTTAACATCTTTGAGTTAAAATGAACATTTTCTTTTTATAGCGTGTGTATATATATATATATATATATATATATATATATACATATATTTATTTATTTACATTATTATTAATTTCAAATGTTTTTTTAAATATTACAATTTTTAAATATAATTAATTATAATATTGTAATAAAAAAAGAGCATTTAAAATTAATAATACCAAATTTTGTTTAAACTTAGATGCATGTCCAGTCACTAGGATATTTATCTAATTAGTTCGATTAATATCGTGAGACTCAGGTTTGAATTCCAATTGAGATGATATTTTTGCAATGAATTATTTAGAGTATTTTGAAGATGCTTATTAGCATCAGTAATATTAACTTATTTGCCAATTTAATTTATGATATCACGTATTCCAACTTCAGTCTACAACTATATTTCAAGACCGACAAATAATCGGCATGCAGTTTGTTTGAATTGGAAATTGTAAAAATTCATACAAATATTCACCCATCTTGACTAAATATAATTACTCTCATTTGTGGACTTGATTTTACGTTCTCAATGTCTCTTTTCCACAAACCGTTCTTATCAATTTATATATCGGAAACGATTCGTCAATTCGCGCACGCGAATACAAAACACACGATTTAACACCGTTCATGTGCAGTAGCGTTAATCACAATGCAGCTTTAATATTAGCCTGGCCGACATAGCAACCGCATTTGCGGTGAGATTGATATTCGGTGTCGTGCATTTACTGACATTAAATCCACGCAATTACCGATGACACACGTAGAGGATGTTCGCGTGACAAGATCGACTTAGCTCGAAGTAACTGCAACACCTGAGGCTGCGCTTGATAACATATATATGTATTTTGGGGGAAGGGTAATCGGCTCTAATCCTCCAGCGCGGGAGAAATTCAGTTTATGACAGAGTACATAACTATTCTCAGTTTGCTTTACGCTCAATAATTTTCACGTGCGTCGCGCGCAAGGTGAAATTAAATGGGTCATGGGTTTATAATGCGGCGAATTAAAAGCAAGTACATATTACACAAATTGTTATAAGATTATCACGTAAAATCGGCCTGCATGTCTAATGATATACATGCTATAATTATGTATCCGTCGTTAACCAGGTTATTCTATTCTGGACCTATATACTACATGATAGAGATCGATATCTCGCTCTCAACTTAATTTGCAAGGCGATCATCCTAGCTTTACAAAAATTTTACGCACGGGTCCACGTCGCGGCGCTTATCATCGACGGCGTGAATTCTAATGTTTATAAAAAAAATTATGTATCGCAGGTTTCGAAAGTTAAACGATCCGTGCACGCTACGGCCACGGCGCGATAATATCTCAGTGAATGCGCGGACGGCCTCTTTTTTCCGGCTTTTTTTCTTCCATTACGACCGATTTGACTGAAAAAGGGAAGCGGGTGAGAAGAATCGTCGAACGCGTTCGAATTGTTTGAAATCCATTTGCGATAAATCATCTCGAAGTCGAAATGTACACACGCGCGCGCGCGCGCGCAAATACGTGGCTTCTCGTAAATACAGCTCGAAATACGCGGTGCGTTTGCGTTTTTTTTTATTATTAGCGGCTACCAATTACATGCCCGTGTTTTTTCATGCCGCGAAATTATCGAATGAATTATACCAGCGTTGAATAATTAATTTGCAGCTTTTATACTATTGGAGTTTCAATGTATGTTTCATCTTCTTTTCACTGAATATCACTATTTATATTTATGCACATCTATACCGTAGGCGTTAATAAAAAGTCAGAATTTTTGTCAGGTGCATCAATTGGTCGATCGACATGTACATTGACAAACAAAAAAAAAAAGAGCAAGAATCAAATGGTCTTCCGTTGAATTCTGCGCGCGCCCGCAGTTCCTCTTTTTTTATTTTCAGGAAGACGTATGAATAATTTTTTCCATTTCATCGCGGTTCATCGGGCGGTGTTTTATTTGCGCTAGCAACTACCTGTTCATAAAAATCGTCGTTTGAGACGATATTTTGCTCTCTCTCTCTCTCTCTCTCGCCTCGTATACCGCGGGCAGTGCAATTGCGCGATACAACTTTAATGCACAGGAGAGGAGGCCGCGAGAGAAAAAGAGAGAAAAACCGCGACGGTCGTTCGGTTTCGCGAATGTTCTCCTCTGTGATGCGACAACAAATTTTGCGTCCCTTCTCGTCGTCTTCGAATACCTGTCATAAACATGGCCAGGGTGTCAACCTCGTTGGCCGCAAACAATTTCTCAACGGCGCATAATTCATGATCGAAGGGCCCTCACACTCGTGACGTTGAGGTGCGAAGGTGACGCGAGTGACGTCGATGATACGAATGACGCACGTCCTCTTTTTTCCGCTCGTTACATCAAGATAAAAATACAATTTGCAAATGTGTGCCAGAAAAAAAGTACAAAATTAATGCCCCATCTCGTACGGAATTATATTATATAAATTGTCGTTATTTTGAAACATTCGCCAAGTTGTGAATTAATTTTGCCACGAGGTTTCTTTTGGAATATTCGCACACCAGTGAAATGAATTCATAAAAAGAAACATCTGTATTTCGACAGTCGCTTATAATTTCTGCCTTTTTTTCTCGGTTAATCGATACACCTGCTGTATCCAGATTCTTTTCTCGCGGAGATATATATTGACGCATTCGATATTTTATTCTATTGTCCGTTTATGTATTTTTGCATGATAATAATAACGCTCCTCGTATCTTCGCGTAAACAGATTCTTTTTTAGCACTGGACATATAGCATAATTTGCAGTCAACAATCTGTTACAGATTGATTATATTTATTAATTAATTATTTATTGTTTGCCATTTTCTCGCAAGAATTGCGATAGCTTGAATAAAACCTTCATTCTGCAATCCGTAATGTCGAGCAGTGTTGTATAAATTTTCATATTATTCATACAACAGATTAAATTACACGATTAAAATTAGTTACGAACATCGCCAAGAAAATGGAAATTCGCCAATAATGAGGGAGAAACAATAATTTCCAATAATTCATACACGTTTATAAATTTGACTAAAAAACGTTTATTGAGAAAGAAAAATCTATTAACAGATTTATCCAAGCAATTAATGCTGATAAATATTTTCCCCGGGACGATTAATGATAACATATAGCTTTATCATAACTGTTTCAATGATGAAAACGAGCGGCAACTGAAAAACAAGTTTTGGGAAAAATAACATGATCGGCAACGTAGTTCCGATAAAACTTTTCCTTTGAACGCATGCGCCCATGTTGGCGCGGCCGAGCAACCAGTAAATAAAAATGTTTATTGTGTAAAGTTAATATTTTCCCAACGGTTCTTTATCCGGAGCAGGGGGTGTTTTCGTAGGAACGCGGTCGAAATCCACGCGGTATATTCCACCCCGAATAAAGCGGCAGTAAAAAAAAGTGCTCACTTTTACGATATTAATTTTTTAAACGACCGTAGCGAGACGTGATTTTTTCTGAATTAGAAATAAATGCATATACATTGTATAATAAATGACTAACACATCGCGTGCATTATTATTTCTTGATAGAGTTATTGATATAACTTAGTTTTATTATCCGCTCGAAATCTATGTATGCAAGACCTATCTGTCTTCTTTGTCTTCTTGTGATTATTAAAGGATATTAAACTATATCATTTGCTTTGTGAAATAATTCAATTTTTATGTGTTAAAAGCTATTAAAAAGTTTGTCAAATGCTTAAAATATTATCACTCTTGTTAAAAAGAATTTTATGAGTGCTAGTCTTTTTTAAAAATGTTCCATATAAAAATATAGAATAATCATTAATTTTTTAAAATTTTCTTCATAATTATGATTGACGCAACAAAGTGCAGCAATTAATATGTCT